ATGGATATGGGATTTGAACTCAGGCAACTGGATTCTAGGGCATGCTCTTTTAACCACTATCATGTCTACTACATGCAGATGTTAGGAGAACAGTGGTCAGTAAGACAAAAGTCTCACTGGTGAGGGAGAGAGAGATGATCAATAGTAAACAGACACAAGACACACCGTGAGTTCAGTAGCGAGAAGTACTATGAAGGAAAACCAAAAGGTTGGTAGGTATGGGGGCTGACAGAGAGGCAAGAGGAACAGGAGGAACTCTTAGATTAGGTGCTCGGGGAAGGTCTGTCTGCGGAAAGGACATTTAATCAGAGATCTAAGCAGGCATGCGGAGAGATCTCCGGGGGGAGTGGTGGCAATGGTGATGATGCCAATCGAAATAGAACTAACAGCAAGTACAATGGTCTTGAGAGCAAAGGGTGCCTGGTGTGTTTTCAGGAAAAGCAAGAAAACTTGTGTGAGTGGAGTGAGGAGCTACAAGGCTCAGGGATGCAGTTGTGAAGGAGGCAGACAGGGACTGGGTTATGTTCGGCCTTAGAGGACATGGTAAAGACTGTGGACTTCATTCTAAGGGAAGCCACTGGGCAGTTTAGAGCTGGGAAGTAATATGGGTCTAGAACATGTTTTAAAAACATCGCTCTCCGTGGAGGAAAGCGTGGGGACAGCAGTGCTGGGGAGATGGTGGTAGGTGGCCCAGGGTGTCAGCGTAAAGGTGGTGAAAAGAGAATGGAGTTGGGGTATGCTTTACAGGTAGAAGAAATACAACTTACTGATGATGTGGTCATGGGGTGTGAGAAAAAAAGGGGGAACTGAGGATGGCTCTTGGATGTTTGACCTGAACTGGTTGCCAGTCAGCTATATGGCTGTCAGGTCATAGTTGTGTGTCGGCGTCTTGAGGTCAGGGCAGAGGACTGAGAAAACACCACTGGGTTTGTCATCGTGGAGATCTTTGGTGGCCCTGAGAAGAGTGGCTTCAGTGTGGTGATGTGGAACAAGAGTGTGACTAGAGTGAGTTCAAGCAAGAATGGGGAAAAGAAACAACAGAAGAACAATAAAAAGAAATAATGGGGGTGGGCGAGTGGGAAATAATAGAGCAAACTCTTTCAAGGAGTATTTCTATAAAAAGTAACAGAGAGGGGTGCCTGGGTGGCTCAGTCGTTAAGCGTCTGCCTTCGGCTCAGGTCATGATCCCAGGATCCTGGGATCGAGCCCCGCATCAGGCTCCCTGCTCGGCGGGAAGCCTGCTTCTCCCTCTCCCACTCCCCCTGCTTGTGTTCCCTCTCTCGCTGTGTTTCTGTCAAATAAATAAATAAAATCTTTAAAAAAAAAAAAGTAACAGAGAAATGGAATGGTGGCGGCTCTCAGACAACATGGGAGTGTTTTGTAAGTGGCAAAACAAAGCTGTGCTTGAATGGAGGTGTTCAAGAGAAGGGTAAATGCATGGTGAGTTCTTGAGAAGGTGATGGAGGATAAAATGCAGGGAAAATGGGTGGGGCTAAGGTAGGAGCAAGGCGAGTCCAAACACCATCAGGAGGGAAGGATGCATGATGGATGCACAAACTAGAAGTGGGCAGAAAAGAAGTTTTCTTAGGATCAATTCTTTTTCTCAGTGCAGCAAAATGGAGGTCATCAGCTGAGAGCAAGGAAAGGCCACCTTTCATTACCAGAGTCTCCTGGTTGTAAACTTTCAGCACACCTCATAGCATTTTCCCTCATAGCATTTGTCACAAATATACCCTGTAACTACTGGTGTGACTATTCATCTAATGGCTATCTTGTCCACAACTGTGAACTTCCCAAGGCTAGGGATCTGCCATTCACCATGGAATCACCAGCATTTGGTGCCTATCTGTCTTCTAGATCAGATACATAGAAATGCACTAAGCTTCTAGTGGAAGTCCTCAAAAGTGACTATCTTCTAAATCAGGGTGGGCAAACTACAGCCTCTGTGACAAATCTAGTCCCCTGCCTATTTTTTGTAAGTAAAATTTTTACTGGAACATAGCCACACTCATTCCTTTGCATACAGCTGCTATTCAGCTATAACAATGGAGCTGAGCAGTTGCAACAGAGACCATGGGACCCACAGAGCCTAAAATATTCACTATTTGACCCTTTACATAAAAGGTTTGCCAACCCCCCATTCTAGATCAGTGGCTCTCAGAGGTGGATGCTGGCCCAGCAGCATCAGCATCACCTGGGAATTTATCAGAAGTGCAAATTATGGGGTATCTGGGTGGCTCAGTCGGTTAAGTGTCTGACTCTTGATTTCAGCTCAGGTCATCATCTCGGGGTCATGGGATCAAGCCCCGAGTCAGGCTGTGCACTGGGGTGTGGAGCCTGCTTAGGATTCTCTTTCCCTCTCCCCCTCTGCCCCTGCCCTCCCCCATCTCTCTCTCTAAAAAAAAAATAATAATAATAAAAGAAAAAGAAAGAAATGCAAATGATCAGGCCCTACCCCAGACCTCCCGAATCAGAAACTCTTGAGGTGGGCCCAACCATCTCTAGTCTCATGAGCCCCCAGGGAATTCTGATGCACATCAGTTTCAGAACCACCCTTCTGGGTAATGTGTACTGAGGAACAGTGGAGCTAACAGGATAGGTAAGGCATTTATTCTAGGTGAGTTTATGTTCCCATGGAAGAACCAAACAAGCACAAAGACAGGCTGTCATTATTAACCTGTGAGAGCTGGCCTGGCGTGGGCTGGGGCAGGAGATGTGCCTTCGAGTGCAGGTCTGAAGAGGAGTCACACATGATGAGGCAGGACTCGAGTGTTGGGGAAGTGCAAAAGCCCAGAGGTGGGGACACACTTGGCATGTTCAAGGAACAAAAAGTCTGAAGTGCTTGCCATGTGGGAATGTTAAGAGATGAAGTCAGAGAGGCAGGCAAGCAGCGAGAACACGGAACACTCCGTAGGCTACGGTAAGAAGGTTAGAGTTCAAAGCACAACGGGAAGCCACCAGAGGCCACTGATAGGATCTGATTTTTGTTTTCACAAGATGATGCTGGTTGCTATGCGGACAGTGGCTTAGGGTCCAGAACAGAAGCAAAGAGACAAGGTAGGAAGAGCACTCTCAGGAAAAGATACTAGTGCCACACTGGAGCATCTCCGAGGAAGTGGCATTTAAGGTGAAATCAATGTCACCATTCTAGGGTTTCTGGTTGGGTCTGTTTTTGACATTAGAGACTTGGCTCCTTTTGCTAATATTGCCTTCCTCTTTTAATGGTAGATTATAATTAGCAAGCAATAGCCGGAAGGAAGGTATCCACGCCCCAGTTCTTGTCAATGCCTAACCTTGCTCCCCACCTGCGGCATGGTGAGGACGCAGCCTCAGTCAGACCTCTCCCTCCAGAGATCCCACAACACCTATTCTTAGAGTGAGTGGCTCCTATTTTCTCCCAGTCCCCCAGGGCCATCTTGGTCTCACTTACTTTCCAACCATGATCCAAGTGAGGGCATTCATCACCTTTCCGGTCATACATACAGGGTTTATCCCACCCACAAACTGATTTGTTGATTCTACTTTCCCTCTCTCCTTTGTCCCTGCCTTTGGAAAGTATTGTTTCTCTTTAAGTCCATACAGCAACTTCCCAACTGAGGCACGGGGCTCTGAATTTGCCTCCTTCCAACTCAAGCTTTAACCATTACTAAAAGGTGAATCTAATCATGCAATCCCCCTGTATAAAATCATTTGGTAGCTTCCCATCACACTCATGATAAAATCCCCACTCCTTAGCATGCCACGATGTGGACCTTGTCTGTTACCTCTCCCTGGCACACAGCTGCTGTGCTGACCACCGCGGGTTACTCGCAGGTACTCCCAGTTCGCTGGACCTGACATATGCTGCTTCTCTTCCCCTGCCATTCTTCACTTGGATAAATTCCCAGTTGTACTCTGGGACTCTGCTCTTGGCTCAGGGCCTCCTCCTTCAAACACCTTTCCTCACTCTCCCCCTGTGCACATGACTATCACTGCACACCTCATACTACATTGGAATCATCTGTGTCACCCTAGAAATGGTCAGTCAGATCTTGGCAACTTTTCCACCAGTTTCTCCAATAGCAGAGAAATACAAAGTACCCTGAGGGACAGAGTATAAGGCCTGAAGCAGACCAATCCACATATAACATTTTTCTCAAGTTCCAAATTTCACATCATAAACTCACGGGGGAAAAAAGAGACGCATGTAGATTTTGTATTCTACTCCATAATACATGATTGTGTCATTTTTCTTTTTTTCTTTTTTTTTTTAAGATTTTATTTCTTTATTTGAGAGAGAGAATGAGAGAGAGAGCACATGAGAGGGGGGGAGGGTCAGAGGGAGAAGCAGACTCCCTGCCGAGCAGGGAGCCTGATGCGGACTCGATCCCAGGACTCCAGGATCATGACCTGAGCCGAAGGCAGTCGCTTAACCAACTGAGCCACCCAGGTGCCCCGATTGTGTCATTTTTCAATATAAAAAACAATGTCATGTCCAAATGATCATTAAGACTGATGACCCACTCCAGAAAACTCTTCTGCTTTATCCTGTGTCACCTCCAGCACACCACAAATACTCCAGGTGGAGAAGAGCAGCGATTAAGGGTAAAAAGAGAAGCTAAACGGACTTACTGAAAGCTTTGTAGAAATTCAGTTTCTATCCATGTGAAGGGAACTATACTATTTCATTTTAAAAACTTTCAGATTATATGATTAAAAGATAAAAAATACAGCTAAGATAAACTCAACTTATACTAGACAAGTTTTTATTCAAATAGAATGTGGCATAAAGTAGGGGTTAAAGATCCCTTCTAAGATAGAATTTTGATAAACAGAAAAGGGAACAGAAGCAAAAGCTTTAAATGAATCAAGTTCATGCCGAAATATATTAAGAAAAAAAGATTTGGTTTGCAACCATCTTCCGATTAAAAAGGAATAAATAAAAGTCAAGACCAGACTTAATCAGCACCACCCTGTTTCACTTTTCCTTCTTCCCACATCAGAGAGAAATCACACTCTTAAAAGATGGTTTCAGCTTTTATTGAACGAGGACTTTATTTTCTAACATGACAAACTAACTCTCCCTTTCTGAAAAGGTAGATCTTACACTCAAAGACAATCTTCAAGCATTTTATTTTAGAAATTGGGGGAGAAATCCATAGTTCATTAACAAGATTCACAACTTCTTTTTACAGTAATGATGGCAGGAAACCAATACATTTCACAACCTAGAGCGGTTCAAACTAAGTATGTAGAGCAGATTTTGAAATCTTGGAAAAATGACATAAACTGGACAATTACGAAAACTGCTCATAATGCGGACTCTGGCTCTGACAGTTTAGGACAGATGTTGGCTCTACACTGTATCCGAGAAGGGGTCTTCACTACGGGACATTTTCACACCAGGACATGGCAGCTTCCCCTCCTCCCAGGCTTTTGAACAAATCATTAAGGCAAGTCTACAAAGGACCAGTCAGGCACAGGGTACAGCAGCTGACCAGAGGAAATCTATGTAACTTCCTGTAGTCTGACAGCCTTTAATGCAGACATCAGTGTGGCAAACTCTGTGCTGTGTTGTGTTTATTTTCAGCATCAACCTGCACCTAAAGCACAAGAGGTCACTTCAAGTCACTTCAATGGAATAAACAATCCCCAGTCATTGCATTTTCAGTGAATGAAGCAAACAATCTGAAGTGCTAGAAAGAATTAGAGGCAAAAATAAAGGAAAAGCCCTTTGGTTTAGACTTACTAGATGAACAGAATGTCTTTAACTCTTCAGGGAATACCACTGTGGCATACAAAATTACACTAATTAATTAACACTCCTTCACATTTCCATAATTTTCAGATCCTATAATTTCAGCAGCACACTTTCCCCATTTTTCTATAATAGCTATGAATACTTCAATAATATAATAACGGTTTAATGATGACCATTTCTCTTTAGTCATGTAGTATTTAGGCTTAGGGAGAGATCCTGTCAAATTTAAAAACAAAAAAATATAAGCTATACCAATAGCTCACAAAAGCATGGTACTAAGAGCTTATTTAGTAAAAAAAAGTCAATGAAGTCCTTTTATTCACATTTACCCAAAGTTATCTTCTAAGACAAGCATCTGCTCTGAAATGCAGGAGGGCACACATGTGGCAATCAATCAAACCCTGGTTCATTTCTTTCTGGTCATCTGAAATTAAGGGCTCCTTTAGAGATCTAAACATTTTAGCAATTCAAGGACACCTAGATCAGCAGATGAAGCACAAACACAAACCTAATTCTTTGGAATATCAGTGTGGGCACAGTGCTTACCACAACCCACATTTGTAAATGCAAATGCTGATTACTTTCCATTCTATAATGTCACCTGATCACCAGTAGAAACTCACTCCTGTTGTTTATCGGGAAAGGGAGGCACCTGCTCATAATAAGATTCAAAGGCCACCATAAAAACGAAAATACTATCCTATGGTATCTCAAGTTAGGGAAATGAGAGCCCACTTTTGCTACGGAGTCGAAAGTGGAGTTAATTATTACTAATATTAATACAGGTATCCCCTGCATCTCGAAAGTGTGTGTTAGGCCACTTTGCTTCTCTGAAAGACCCACGTTAGTACCTGTTTTTGCTACCCGAAAGAAGTCCAAAGAGGATTTTTGCTTTTACGAAAAATTGCACTTAGTGTGTGTGTGTGCGTGTGTGTGTGTGTTTTGCAGCGAGCCAGTTTAGAGGTAGCACGCACATCCCAGGCAGCTAGGGGCCCCACCAAGCTCCTTCCCGGGAAACACACACAGCGTGTCAGCGTCCAGCCGCCAGAGCTCTGAACTGTGTCTGTGAGCATCTGGGCTTTATCTCAATTTATTTTGCGCATCCGTCAGCAAGATGTGTCATAAAGTATCAGAAAAGCCTAGGAGAGGTGGTTTTTTTTGAGTCTGGGAACCCTCAAAATTTTTTTCCATATAAATTAATAATAATGGCTTCTTCACTTTACACCATTTTCAGCTTATGAAAAGTTTCACAGAAACACTCTCTTTCGGAAAGCAGGGGAAACCTGTCATAGAAAACGAATTTTTTTGCGAGAAAGGAACAATTAATATATCTGTTTCTAAGAATCATAAAGAACAACAACTGGGGCTTACACAAGATGCACTGAAGTGACTGATCTGAAGTAGCCTAGTGAGTTCATTCAAACCACATGGTACAGGAGATTGTCTCAATTTAAGTCCACCCATTACAAACATCATTCACCCTAATCTGCCTAATCTGTCTAATATGCCATAAAACCTCAGCTAAAGACGAGAACCGTTCTAGCTATGAAAGCAAAAATATCCCCAAAGTTAATCAGAAGCAACTTTCTGTGCATTAAGAAAGCATTTTCTTAGAAGCAAAAAAAAAAATTAAAAATTAAAAAAAAATACTATGATTAAAATAATGTGTTCTAGTAAGGCATAGAGCCCACACGCAAAGGAAAAGAAAACCATATAATCACAATCTTTAAAGGCTTCCTTGAATGCCACTCGCTATGTTGGCTGCAATTCTACACCGTCTGGAAGCCAAGTGCTGGGCAGGTGACTCCGTGACTTAGAGGAGCTGTCATCACGAAGTCAGGCAGTGTCCCAGACTTCTCTGGCTCTTCGCACCGCCTCTTAAAGAAGTTGCTGAATAGTTCAAGAGATGAGGAAGGATGTAGAAAACTATTCTTTTCTTCCCATTAATATCCATCTTTTTTAGTGGATTCTCCAGTGAGGCAAACTGAGACCACGACATGGTAAAATGAGGTATTGATACAATTAATGTTCACCAGGACTTCTCTCCTTGCTTGAGCATCTGTGAGCATTACTACTGTACGCAAAGAATAGTTTATTATACATCATCTCCTTTATTCTCAATCCAACCAGAGTTAACTTATTTCATGATCTCATCATCTACTAAGAATAAACAGCACAGAGCCATACGCTGTGGCCTTCTCCCCACGTCCCACCTCTTCCCTCTCCACCAAATAAGCTCCCTGTGAACTTACACACACTGCTCAAAGCGCCATGCAAGTGTTTTGTTGGCGTTTCCGTTGGCATGATTTTGGTGAATGGTTCAGAATGTGAGTGTGTGTGTGTGTGTGTGTGTATGTGAGAAATGGTATGTTAAACTTCAAAAAGCAAACTACAAACAAATCCAGAAACGGTGCCAATTTAAAGATTTCAGTATTATGACAAATTTCATACACATACTGATACATTCAAAAGAAAAACACAAACAAACCCACTGAATCAGTTCTATGTAAAATATGGTAGAAAAAGATGGGGAAGTTCTGTGGAAGGATGCAAAGCTGTGTACTATATGTCCAAAGACATTTAGTTCTGGCTTATGAAAATTCCAATTATATTTAGACAGGAACAGACATGGATGAGAAATCCAAAGCTGTGTCCACATAGTTGAATGTTATTAAACTAAGGTCTAACATTTATGGGGAAATAACAGACACTTAAATTCTGCGTATCAAATTCCCCCTTTTAATGTCTGCATAAACCAAGAGGCAGGGGTTTCTGGGTGTCAGATCAGTTTCCAGGCATTATAAAAACATAACAAACTTACACCAAAACAAGATCAGTCTGTGTAAGTGTATTATCAAGAAAGGAGGAAAGTCTCAGAAAAATAAGGGAGGTCTCAGTGTTTTGTCCAAAATTCCAGAAACTGCCCATTTGTGGCATACAAACAAAAGGGAGGTGCTGAACTGTCTACCAGTGTTTTATGTTTTAACAATATTAAAATCAGTTAAGATTTGTAGGAACGCAACATTAAAACCATAATGTAAAGAGTAGAAACTCAAGGCCAAGGCTAGAACCAACTCAAATCATGAGCTAACATTGCCTATTTCCTCCACCAAGATTTCAAGTTTGTCCAGTAATTTATACTGTGGTTTCTCGACCAGCTTTGAGATTGGGTGCCGAAAACTGGCGCCTCATCCTTGGAGGTGTCACAAACTGGCTACAGTGGTTGGGCTTGTCCGTCTGCTTCTGAAAGGAACTGGCTGCACTGCCCTCTAACTGACCTCCAGTGTTGTAATTACAGTAAGACTGACGGTGTTGGTGAATATGGCGCTTCGCCTGGAAAGTCTGCAGATCGGCAGTGGGGTGACCACTGTGGGAATTTAATGATTCTGAGGCGGCAGATGCCTGGCTGCGCGTACTTTTCGGTTGGCCACTATTGAGAGAATTGCTTCTCCAGCGTAACTGAGGTGGCTGTTGTTGGGTGTTAATATGCTGCTTGCTAACTTGGATGTGCTCTTGACTTCGTGTGCCCTGAGAGCCCCATGGTAACTGGGGATCCTTAGAAGTTGCTCTACCCCCCTTTTCTTGGCTCTCCTCTTTACTTCCTTTCCTTCCATCTTCATCTTTTGGGATTCTAAGCTCTATGACCTCATCTTCTGTTATGATGATATGAGTCCCAGGGCTCCAAGAGTTTCTGTGTTTAGGGTTGCTCTTAAAGGGGAACCGGGGCTTGCGGTTCTCAGGAGGGATGAACCTATGAGGTACGTTCTGCCTACGCAGCTGCTTTGCTATCTCCTGCTGTTGCAGATTCTTAAAGCGGATTTGCTCTTGCCTCATCCAGCGCAGACGTCCGCGTCTAAAAGCGGGATCCCCGTTCATCAGCTGGGAAACGCGCTCCTCTTTCCCAAGTTCTCCACTGTCCCCTCTGCTTCCGTCATTTTCAGACTTGTTACTGACACCAGCACCAACAGGCTCCTTTGCTCTGTGGTTTCCTTGGCTTTTCTGTTCCTGAGATCCGATCAGTGGCAAGACTTTCTCCATTTTGAGCATTTTGTTTCTTAGGACTTTTATTTCCTCATCCTTCATGTTATTTTGCTTTTTTACTTCTTGCAAAATATCTTCCAGTTTGTCAATATGAACCTTGAGGTCATCTACGTCAGTCCCGCCCTTTCCACTGGCCATCACGTCCTCGATCTTCTCATCCCCTACACCGACAGTGTCCCACACATCCCTGGCCACTGCCCTCCAAGAGTCCCGCTCATTGGGATCTTTCTTCCCATACATGGCACAAAGCTCTTTCATCTTAACAATGGCCAAGGCTTCAATCTCCTGCCGACTGTGCCTAAAATCGTTGAGCGCAACCTCGTAGCATATCTCTTTTACGGCCTGAATCTTAAGATCTGAGATGGTGACCCACTTGGAATCTTTACTCAGGCGCCTTCTTTGGGGGATTTGATACATTTTAATTGGCTCTCGTTTCTTCCCACTGCTAGGGAGGCCACACTTTTTAACAATGGTTTGCAACTTGCTGGGAGGTAGCTTTTCTCTCAGAGAAGTAATCAGTTTCCAGCTCTCTTCACAGGACCTCTTGTCAGAATCGTCCCCGCTATCAGAATCCGCGTCCTTTGGAAAAACAAAATCAAAAAATGGCCCCAAAATAACCAAAATTAAAATGTAAAAAAGGAAAATCAAATTGAAGAAAAAACAAGTAAAAAAGCCTTAACCAAATTTAAAACCAAAACCAAAAAATAAGTAAATAAAACTTAAAAAAAAAAAAAGATAAAACAAAAAACCCCCTAAGTGGTGTGTAAGTTTATCAAGACTTATGTATATATAGGTCATTAATATAAAGATTCGCTAATGCGAATTCCCACTTTCTGGCTTAAGTGATGAAATCTGCAATCCAATTTCTTAGCAGGATTGATACGGTGACCTTTCCCTCTAAGGTCATGTGAAGTTATTAACCAAATGCTGTGAAGTAACACCTCCACCATCCTGCGGAACTGCAGTAAAACCTACGGCCCACACATGCTAACGCCCCATGCAGCCATGTCCCCACATTTGCCTTGGTTATTGCTGTTGCTTCTTCCAGAAACTCTTTCCCCCATGAGTGAGCACAGATGCCATACAAGATGTGACGAGCAGGCGGATTAACAAAGGTTAGTAAGGCTGTAGGATGCCACGTTTTGTTTAGCTTTACTAAAAAGAGCAGCCCTAGAAAAAAGTTAGAAGAGGAGAAGGTAGAAAAAGAAGCAGTCAAACAGGGATGATGTTAAAAATGAATCCCTATCAGCAGACCACATGGGGTTCTTATCAACCAAACTTTTTTCTAGAAGACAAGTGAGTTTTGAAACTAGTCCTTCCACGAGCATATACTGGATTTACTATTTTCCTGTCATGCTAAATTGATGTGCTACATTTGTACAACTAACATTTGTTATCCAGAGAACAAGGAAGCATAAAAAAAGGATCCTCATAGTGGGTCTGTTTTTTTGTTTTCACACACTTAAACCAATAAACACTTCACCTCCAAAATTTTAAGAAGTTTCCAGAACATAAATTAAGCTAGGCAAATATACTTCCATTAAACATCATTTAAAATTCCCCAAGTAATATTTTAATAAATATGACTTAAAGATGTTTTCTATGAAAACCCATGGCATTTCTAGCTACTTGAGGAGTATCACTTTAAGTGACAACTCTACCTATCAGCACATAAAACAGATTATATTCTGCTTAGGTAAAATAGATCCACTTTAAAATGCTGTCTCTAATTCTGTCTTTCCAGCTATGTTTGCACTTTACCTCATTTTCAAAAACTTTAGCTGGGCAGTCAGGCTGCTGTTTACTTCTGTTTTAGGCCCAAGTAAAACGGCAGCCCAGGGGCGCCTGGGTGGCTCAGTCGGTTAAGCTTCTGCCTTTCGCTCAGGGTCCTGCGACTGAGGCCTGAGTCGGGCTCCCCACTCAGAGGGCAGTCTGCTTTTCCCTCTCCCTCTGCTGCTCTCTCGCTCTCTCTCAGATAAATAAATAAATCTTAAAACAAAACAAAACCGCAGCCTGACTGCCCAACTAACTAGTCTTCAAGGGCTATCTGGATAATAATTAATTGTTCTTAAATAACACAAGCACATCTTCATGACATGAAAGCACTGTTGGATCTACACAAAAACAATGTTAGATTTAGAATTCCCTATGGAATTAAGGAAGGCTTAAGGAAGAATTTCTATTCAGGAAATAAAAGTTCCTTGGAAAAGAAACTATCCACTTAGAAGAGTAGTTCAGGATAGCCTAGTTAAAAAAAAAAAAAAATCTTAATACTCTCTTTTACTTGGCTGTGATTACCAAAATTATCTCTAGTAAATAGTATTTTGCTTTCTAGGCCAAAGATGCCTATGTACAGTTGTTTCTAAAAAATAACTTTTGGGAGCCTGGGTGGCTCAGTTGGTTAAGTGACTGCCTTCGGCTCAGGTCATGATCCCGGAGTCCCGGGATCGAGTCCCACATCGGGCTCCCTGCTTGGCGGGGAGTCTGCTTCTCCCTCTAACCCTACCCCCTCTTGCGCTCTCTCTCTCACTCTCTCTCTAATAAATAAATTTTAAAAATCTTAAAAAAAAAAACAAAAAACTTTTAACAATAATGACAATAATTTGGTCCCTGAATTTGGAGCTGCTGATTTGTATTATTTGTACCTATTTGAAAATTTAACAAAAAGCAGATGGAGTTAAATTTATGGACTCTACACTATTTTTTTTTCATTTTTAGTTTAAACCTCAGAATGTCTCATCTGAGTGATAAAAGAGGACATTAATAAACATTAGAGAAAAAAATATGTCTGACTCCTAAAAAAGGTCTTCCTGCCAGTATGTATAAACTAATTTTACAGAACATAATATACTCTGACTGTTCCCACATAACTGACAACTATCACTCTATCCCCAACCCAGCTTCTTTTCTTTTCCTTTTAAGATTGCTCAAGAATGGGGGCACCTGGGTGGCTCAGTTGGTTGGGCGACTGCCTTCGGCTCAGGTCATGATCCTGGAGTCCCTGGATCGAGTCCCGCATCAGGCTCCCTGCTCGGCAGGGAGTCTGCTTCTCCCTCTGACCCTCCCCCCTCTCATGTGCTCTCTCTCCCTCATTCTCTCTGTCTCAAATAAATAAATAAAATCTTAAAAAAAAAAAAAAAAGAAAAAGATTGCTCAAGAATGAAATGAATACTACCTAATCTACGAAATAACAAATACTCTAATCACTGCTTTCAAAATATCACGCTTGAGAGGCAGAGATTAGGTCTTTAAACTCTAAAATAAAACATAAATAAATAAGAATATCTACATAAATCCAAAGGAACTCAATTAAATTACGTGGCCATAATTTTCATTCTTTTTAAAATACTATCACATTGGGGGCGCCTGGGTGGCTCAGTCAGATAAGCGTCCAACTCTTGATTTTGGCTTAGGTCATTGAGATCAAGCCCCATATCAGGCTCCGTGCTGGGAGTGGAGGCTGCTTAAGATTCTCTCTCTCTCCCTCTGCCCCTCCCTAACGCCCCCATAAATAAAAAAGATAAAATAAAATACTACCATATTGTCTTTGTAGAATATGTTCAGCTTACAGCCCCCATATCACATACTGACCAAGATACTAAAAATTCCGTAGGCAAAGTTTATGTGCCAAGATGTACACCCTATCTCATGTCAAAAAAGATTTAAAGATATTTAGATTCACTTATTACAGAGTTGGAAAAACTACTACTTGGGTCTGGCCAATTCGTGTCACTAAATGATGCTTCTGTTTTCATTAAATCCCAATGCAAAGGCCTCCTGAAGAGACTGTGCAAGAAGCTTGTGCAGAAAGAAGAAAGAAGATACCTACAAGACATAGGTGAAAAAGCAAGCACAGAAAGGACCAGGTGTGTAATAGAGCACTAACTAGAAGAGAAGGTTCAGCACTGCGACTATATGACGCATTTGGGGAACTATCATAATAGAAAACTCATGAGCCTGAATTCCGTTTTTTAATGTTGTCATTATGCAAAAATGATTACATATAATATTAAATACATATTTACTGAATAATTATTCCTTTATATCCTCTCAGTGTTTATTCATAGGGTGCATTCAAAATGTATCTGTTGGCTGACCAATACAGGGTCATAAAAATACATCTTCCATTCAGTATTGTTACTGCTAGATATTCTTCAGGCTAAGGCATTAGAAATCAATTCCTCTGGAGGACAAGAAATCTGAGTGGAACAGACAGGTGGACTTAGGGGGATGGAAAGCAACCTTCTTGCTTTAAGCAGCTGCTCTTGAAAATCCTAGCTTGCTTTCAGATACACAGAACATATGACAACCAGAACCTGATCACTTGCAGGCTAAGTATGTCCCCTGGAAACTAAATATGTCTTAGAGACATTTACTCTCTCTTTATTTGATGGTCATCATCTTTACTTCAGAGCAAAGAATGATCATCAGCTCTTGGTTATGGAGAGCACCAGCCATCATCATTCTTTCTCACCTGGTTATTCAAAGGCTGGTCTTGGGTCAGCAGTGCTGGCATCACCTGGGAGCTCGTTAGAAATGAAGACTCTCAGGTCCCACCCTAGGCCTACTGAATCAGCATCTGCATTTTAACAGGGCTCCCAGCTGGTGAAGAAGCACTGCTCTTACTGGACAGAAAGAACACGGAAGCAATTCAGAAGCCCCAAGATTAAGCCTCAGACCCATGACTTAACAGGTGCTTAAGAGTGAGCAAGACAGCATTTTTTAGCCTCGGTTCCTCAACTATAAATTGGAGGTAATATTACTCATTTTATTTACATACACACCTATCAAGGAGGGCTGTTCTGGGAATTAAAAAAAAAAAAAAGATGGATGTTAAAGCTCCCTGTAAATTATAAAGCACTATACAAATACAAGGCACTACTGTTAATGATACATACAGCTTAATGACACCTGTCCTCATTTGATCTGTCACAGACCATCAGAGGTGTGTTATTAGATTATACATTATTAAGATAAAAGGCTCCTCATGTGTCACAAACCTTTCAAGCTCCTAATCACACTGTAGTCAAATCCTTCTGTTTTCATTAAAAACTAAATGTCAACTAGGCCTCGTAAAGGGATTTGAACACTGCTATTATCTTGCCCCAAATACCTGATTTATTCTTTCTTGGACTTCACTATAGTTTCTAAGACAACAAACTAACTGGTTTAACCCACTGCCAGGCCTAAGAAATGAGTGGCCCTGAAAAAGGCTGCTTTTGCCATTTCTGGCCCATTTAGCACCAGCCTCTCTTCTCCAAAGAAGAGCATGACCAGAAGGCTGCAGTTTACACACAGTATTTTAGATGCTATGTTTTATGCTAAGGGAAGAAACCAGTATCCCAGCTTTCTCCTTATCTTAAAAGAAGTCTATGAGTCTTAAAAAATCCTAAATTGTATCCACAGTACCCAAAGGTTTATTATACCTTTCCCTTACACATCAAATGAATGCCAAGAAGAAGCTTTTTATGACCACGGCTTTGTTAACCAAAGCTGGATGGCTTTAAAAATGAAAATCTAACTAATGGGTCAACTTATTTATTCATGAGATTCAGTTTCTATCAAACTTAGAGAATCAATTTACATCACAAAATGCTAAATCCATTAGCATTATAAGCTGCAACCTCAAACCAACTTTTCAGCGGCTTACCCAAATCTTTCTCAACCCGGAGAAACCAGGCTTCCTTCTACTATCTGAGCTGCTGTGTAGCCCCTGCTTCCACTGTCATCCCACACGCCACGGAGACCCTTATTGAGAATTCAGACTCCATGCAGGGGAACAGAAAAGGATTAACACATGCAACTGTGCAGCAACACTTTTAGACACAGTTTAACTAAAAAAAGAAAAAGAAAAAAAAAGTCTGCCCAGCACAAGAACAATCCCCAAGTCAGCCCAAGAGCAGAGAATTAGTACTATCAGGTGATCAGAAACAAAACCAAGGCAAACACTCACTAAATTCAATATTCAATATAATTATCATTAAAAGAATCACCACTGCAGCGTACTCAAAAATCACCATCAAGAGGTAAAGCCTACCAGAAAAGCTCCCACTAGCTCCTCAAAAAGCACTTGGTTTTGCTAGAACTAAAGATTTAACACATAAAAGGCACAAAACTGTACCTTTATGGACACTTTTTCAAGCTAAGGCTACCAGGAGATGTAAGTTCATTCTCCATTAAGTAAATGAAAGAAGAGCCTATGGTATCAATGAGAGCTGGACAAGCAACTGGGCAAGTGCTCATCTGTGGAACAGGGAAGGTATGAGAGCAAGCTGCCCTTTTCCTAACAGAGGATTCAGGATGGACTCCTACCAGTCTCTGCTGCTCCAAGAGAAGATCTGCTTCTTCCTTCTCCTTTTTGTATAGGATCTCCATCTCCTGTAGTCTAGAAGGAAAAGAAAAACAAGAGAGGAAAGAACAAACTGTGAAATCACTGGGCTGTTTCATGAGTGCTATATACTGCATGCTTAAAAGAAGTGATAGTCATGGGGGCCACATCATATTTGTGCATTACCTTTTCTCCATCTCCTGCTTCATATCAATCCCTTGTTTTTCTAGAAGTTCTCTCTGGGCAAATGTCCAGTCCACAGGCTCAGAGGGGGTCTCGGCAGAAGGAGTCTTCTCCCGCTCTGCCCGTGCTTGCTCCGGGTGGTTGAAACGAAACACATGGTTTTTACCCATGATGATACGGTTTCCTAGCACAAAACAGAAAGAGTTAAGAAGCCATTTTTTAAAGGTATACCTATCTAAGGTAATAACCTCACTCTCCCTTCATTTCCCTAAGGCAAAAAGAGAGCTTTTGTGGTTTTACAAGAACAGAAATCCTAACGCTATCATACTTCAATCTTTAAACAAAGAGTCAAAAATTAAAGAGTTGCTCACACAAACCACGTGTTCTTTACTAAAGACTTCAAACCTTTCCCAGTCTCAGGGGCGCCTGAGTGGTGGCTCAGTTGGTTAAGCGTCCAACTCTTGACTTTGGCTCAGGTCATGATCTCAGGGTCCTGAGACTGAGCCCCAAGGGAGTCTGCTTCCTCCCTCTTCCTCTGCTCCTCCCCCCAACTTGCGTGCACTCTCTCTCAAATAAATGAATAAAATCTTTAAAAAAAAAGGAAAAAGCAAAGGACTTCAAAAAAACAAAACAACTTTCCCAGTCTCACCTGAGCGCAGTTGAACGGGCTGGGCCACCCTCTTGCCATTTACGTAGGTTTCTGAGCGTTCACAGGGCTCTAGGGTCACAATAACTAAGAAGAACAAACTAGTATTAGCATCACAAACCAGTGGAATAAAACAATGGAAAGAAGATGACTGTGAAGATTCAGGGTAACTAGAATACATTCCTGCAACCAACCAAGTGGCAGAGCATCTATATAATAGTTCATTTTAGGGTATCAAAACCAGCTGTGTGGCTAAGAGAAACATTTAAATGAATGTGACAAACCTCAGAAGAAGATGGGAAATGGTCGTTTTGGTGATATGTGACAGTTCAGTCCATAAAACTGAAAACCATCAGAAATCTTAAGTATAAGATATAGGTACTGGGTGCCTGGGTGGCTCAGTCGTTAAGCGTCTGCCTTCGGCTCAGGTCATGATCCCAGGGTCCTGGGATCGAGCCCCACATCGGGCTCCCTGCTTGGCAGGAAACCTGCTTCTCCCTCTCCCACTCCCCCTGCTTGTGTTCCTGCTCTCGCTATCTCTGTCAAATAAATAAATAAAATCTTTAAAAAAAAAAAAAAAGATATAGGTACTAAACCAGAAACATAAGCTCAAAAGCAGCTAATATTTTGATTAAAGGAATGAGTCATTAGCACAAAATACCATTAGATTATTGTTCTGTTAGTAACCCAGACAAAAATCAAGACCGACTTTTTCTTCCCTTCTAGAAAAAATACATGCTGGGTTAAGATTAGGGGTCCTTCAAATCTCCCACTACCCAGGATATTTGTTCCTTTCTTACTTGTCTATTAAATAATTAACATTCAAGACCAAGCCTAATTGCCTATGTCCCGCTCAGTTCTTGGCAGTTACAAAAGGGCTCCTTTTGTCCAGGCTATTTTCATGTAAAATAGCTATGTCTGTCCCTGCATTTGTAAGCAGGGCAGGTTTCTCCATTTTCAAATATTAGATTGTACAAAAAGTATCACTGAGAGAGACAGGGAATAGCAAGCCCTGGGGATTTCTAGTAATATAGAATGAAAAGGTTGTTGGAAAAGCAATGCCAGGAACTCTCACCGTCCCCACTGTTGTTTCTCTCGCTCCGGAAGATACAATGCTCTTCTTGAATGTGAGCCCCACTCAGCACGATGTCCTGGCGCCGTTCAGCATCTGCTTGGCCAACCCTGAACACAAGAGAAAGTGTTTCCCAGGGAAATTCAGACACAAAAAGCACTGAAAACAATGAACCTCTTTCTCCCAAAGAATATTCTTTAGTATGTACAAAAAAGGTATCGCTTCTTTTTATCAGAGGCTTTCAACTGCAAATTTTATTTTCACATATGATCAACCTCCCTACATTAGAATAAGAAACCAAGGAGCAAGGATACATCAATGTAACTCACTCAGCTTTATAAAAAGACACGAATGAACTAATCTCCCTAATGAATTCATATAAGAAGTTAGAAAAAAAATTTTTTACTTAGGGTTTTTAGGGAAAACTACATGTTAACTGGTTCAGATGGCTAAAGCACTTACATAATTTGGGAAGACAGGATAGTTTGTAACTATTTCAGACACAAAAAACAGCAAATCATTACAATTTTTCAACAAATAACTTTTTAGTTATTCAATCATTTATGAGAAGAGAAAACAGTAAGTGACCAAAAGAAACAAATATACCTTGTAATTCCATCTTTGATGTAATAAAGCAGGCATTCAGACATTAGTGGGTCCTCATTGAGGTTAACAAGATGTGGGGTCTGAAAAAGGGTACAGATGATCATTTGGAGCAAGTACCACTGGGTGGGCAGTGACAATAACAGTGACCTACAGGGGGCCAGTGGCTTCCTGGATTAACCACAGTCCCTAGAAGAGGGATGTCTTTTATTCCTAGTTCCCAGCTGCAATTCCATACAAAAAGAAAACACTCTCTTCAGGCCTTCTCAAACTGCACTAATACGTTCTATTTAAAAACAGGAGTTCAGGGATAAAGAACAAGATCCAATTCTTGATAAGGTCAAAGCATGAAGAACACAAAAGAAAAATAAGGACAGGACGATTCTCTGGATGGGTTAATCATAATTTTTGTAACTATCTGGACAAAAATCTTGAAGGGTAACAAAATATGCCACCCCAAAATATGCCACTTTGACATACTGATTATTTTGAGCTGAAGGCACCTGAAAAACAGCAAATGCAGGGAGAGGCTTTCTTTGAAACCCCTCGCATGCCTGAAGACAGGTCCTCCTAAATGGCCTCGGCTGCCATGTCCCCTCGGGAGTCCATTAACCAGGGAGGAAGGACTTGAATCCCAGGAAAGGAGACCAGAAGTCAACACCACACTCAGACTTTGTCACAAACGATCACACCTTCCATCTGTTCTTCCAAGGGCCCCTTCATCTTTCCTGAAAATCATTTATTCCCTCCTGAGAGGCCTACATCCCCACTCGCCTTTTCCTACTAGGATGGTATTTAAGTCTGAATTCTAAGCCATCTTGGGGAGTCACTCACTTTCCCTTGGGTAGCTCCCACACATACATGAGGCAGACATGTTAATATGTTTATTTTTGTTTTTCTCTTATTAATCTTTTATTACAGGGCTCTCAGCCAAGAACTCAAATGGGTAGAGGGAAAATTATCTTCCCTTCCTACAATCTCCAGAAATACTTTTCATTTACTTTATAAAATTGTCTTTTTTTTTTTTTTCAAGATTTTATTCATGAGAGAGAGAGCGATAGAGAGAGCACAAGCAGGGGGAGAGGCACAGAGGGAGAGGGCGAAACAAACTCCCTGGCAAGTAGGGAGCCCAATGCAGGGCTCGATCCCAGGATCCTGAGATCATGACCTGAGCCAAAGGCAGACACTTAACCCACTGAGCCACCCAGGTGCCCCTATAAAACTGCTTTAAAAAATGGGGGACTGGGTGGCACAGTCAGTTGAGCATCTGACTCTTGGTTTTGGCTCGGGTCACGATCTCAGGGTTGTGGGATCAAGCCCCACACTGGGCTCTGCACTCAGTATGGAGTCTGCTTGAGATTCTCTCACCTCCCTCTGCCCCTCCTCCCCCTAAAATAAATAAATCTTTAAAAAAAAAAAAAAAAAAGTCCCCACATCCCCTGGCATTTCCCTCTATAATTTTTATCACTTCTTCCATGGTCTCAGCTATTGTCTTTAGTTTATTAGTCTTTACATTAAAGAGAAATTAAAATCACTGACGTTCAACAATATACACATCTTGTAAAAATCTTCTTCATCTAACTCTAATATTTCTAAAATCTTTGAAAAACCAACCTTCTTTGGTGAAAATACCCCACTGGAATCCAAAAATAAGTCACATGGTCTTGGGGTCAAAATCTACTCAAGACAGTGCCAGCAAATGTGGAAAAATGAAAGAAGAATCAGATGAGAGGGTTAAGAACAGGGAATGAGAAAGACGATTAAACAGAAATTAGAAAAAACTCTACATCAGCATCTGCCTCTGTAGTCTAAGAGCTCTGCTGGTTTGAGAAAGTCAAGTCCCTCTGTGGGCAGTGTTCTTTAAAGCCCATTAGGACACTGGCCTCAGAAAAAGGGGATCCTGGAAACAGGTTTTGTCTGTTTGCCCCTTGCCTTAAAAGTATTTCCCCCGACCCAGTTTTATGGCGGTATGATTGATAAGTAAAAATTGTATACATTTAGGTTGTACAACATGTTTTTTTTTTTTTAAGGCGGCGAATGTGCATGCAATGATTACCACAATCAAGTTAACACATCAGAAACAGGTTCTAAAACTGAATCTGGATGTAGCCAGTGGTGTATCCCTTCCTTTCCTGAGGAAGTCTAGAAAGTTAAAACAAGATGCATAAAATTAAAGTAAGAAAAAGCTTTGGAAACAGAGATCTCAGTGTGGAATTCCGTGCTGTTTATATCACACCACTTATTTAAATTATTTATGACTTGTGTTAAATGCCATCGTTTTACAAGTTGTTACAAAAATTTTCCATATAGTTCTTAACACTCAAAGACGTTGTAAAATCTCTTTCAATATACACAAAGGCACAAATCTGATCAAACCCGGAACTGCTAAAATCTCCACAATCCTAAGTATGCTATCTCAACAAATAATGTCTTACTGAAGGAAACACTATTAAACTGAAAATCACAGACTGCTGGCAATACACACACAAAATACTGTTATTGTTATTCCAGTTCTACGACGTGTACCAAAAATGTCTTTAAAACCATCTTCTTTGTTGAAAATAATGCAATGGAATTCCTAAAAAAAAGTTATATGACCTTGACAGAAAAACCAAACCTAAAGAATCCTAGCAAAAACCAGGAATATTTCCTATCACATAAACACAAAAATGGAAACCCCCCTGCCCATTCTATGCCAACCTAGAGAGATCATCATCAGACCCCGCAGAACATGTATAAGTCTCTGATAGGCAAAGCTGGGGTCATCTGAAATGAAGAACCATTTACTACCCGCATGAATATATCTGCTTTGTAAATAAATAAATATGTTCTATTACTGTCATATAAGAAGCACACAAAAATAATTTGTAATAGTTTTCCAATATCTAAGAATAACTAGGAAGCAACTTAGTAAAACAAAACAAAACAAAAACAAAAAAAACCCAAAAACCAAAACCTACCTTACTATTCTAATTAGCTACAAGGAATCTACTACCTAACAACTATAAGATTATGTAAGTGGGAGGGTACTATTGGAGTCATATAAAAAAAAAAAACCTAAGAAAGGAGCAGAGGAGGCTAGAAGGGTGAGGACAGGAATTGCTTTACTCAGTATAATGGTTGTCTGTAACACAAACTACAAAAACAAACTTGCGTGGTATTTTTCTACACAAACCTGAATAGCTGAAATTGCTTCCAAAGAGTTATAAATCAGGGCTGCTGGCATCTGTGGGAAAATCTACATAGAAAGAGTAGCCAAACTGAAGCAAGGTATGTGAGGTGAGAGGCTGGGAATTTAAGAGAAAGCAACAATGCAGATGAGTAAACATACTGAATCATGACCGGAAGTTATACTGCCTTGGGTTTTATTTTGTAAACAGCAAATACGATAGGCATTTTAGAAACAGACTGCCCCTGTACTGTAAGATGAAATCAGAAATGTCTGAAATTAAGACAAATCTCAAGATAAAATGAAGGGAGGAGGGGCCAGCCCTGAAAGACCGGAAGTGCCTCAGTGACCAAGACAAACAGGAAGTGCTTCTGTTGGGTTGAGTTTCACAACAGGTTCCTACCTTCTTAGGTGAAAAAACTCCCAGGGTTCCTCCGTCTTCCCGAATGGCCACTCCCATCTCAGCCAACAAGGCCTCTCTAGAAAAACAACAAGCACATCAGAATACCAATACCAAAATGTCAATTAAATCAGTCTCTTGTGAACTGGAAAGTAAAGCATGCAAAGCAAAAACTATTGTCTGTGTTAGTAATACAAATGTGAAAAATCTGTCTATCCCATCATTCATGAGAATTTAAGGGAAACAGCACATTCAAAATAAGTTCTGTTCCCATGTTAGGTAAAGTTGAATTCACCCAAATAAGAACTTTGTCTCATCTGACTTTGGAGGCAGACAGTAATTCATAAATAATATGTCTATTAATATAAAAAAAAGGAAGACAGGGGTATTCCTTAAGGCCAGACATCTAACTCAAAGAACATTTCTTCAAAATCTAAGAAAGCAATCAGAAAGTAACTTGGATATATGAAGACTGTCTGTAAGTGTGATTTTCTCAAATGTGATGCTCCCATGCCCAACATCATATTGATTCAAGAATTTTAGCTTAAAATCCCTATAATAAGAGGGGCGCCCGGGTGGCTCAGTCGGTTAAGCATCTGCCTTCGGCTCAGGTCATGATCTCAGGGTCCTGGGATCGAGCCCCACGTTGGGCTCCTTGCTCAGCGGGGAGCCTGCTTCTCCCTCTCCCTCTGCCTGCCTCTCTGCCTACTTGTGCTCTCTCTCTCTCTGTCAAATAAATAAGTAAAATCTTTAAAAAGAAAAAAATCCCTATAATAAGAATATTCTAATTGTTTGATACATCCACTGCATCAATACATCAGCACTTACTTCTACCTCATCTTCCATGAAGGGGGAAGACAAGTCTGACCTTCTTTTAATGTATATTCATCCCAAGAGGAAAAGTATTATTTTGGGTTATGCTCACCTTCAGGTAGATAACTGAGAGGTTAAAGTAGAAAAGGGATTTTAAAAGTCTGCAACTCAAACTGCTTCACCTCTTACCAAAGAGGTTCTATAAAACATAACTCAGACAATCATCAGAGAGCTTTATTATTTGGGCCTTTATCAAAGGCAGTTGTTTTACAAAGTAAAAACTCTATCCCAGGGTACCTGGGTGGCTCAGTCAGTTAAGCATCCAACTCTTGACTCTCAATTTCAGCTCAGATCATGGTCTCTGGGTCATGGGATCAAGCCCCACATTGGGCTCCATGCTGGGTGTGGAGTCTGCTTGGAATTCTCTCTCCCCCTCTGCCCCTCCCCCACCCTAAAAAGAAATGTTTAAAAAAAACCCTCTATCCCTCAGTATCTTCCATTTTACATGGACCCTGAACACGATGCAGTATGGTAATGAGCACAGGACTCCCTAGAGTAGTCTAACTATATAACCTCTGCTAGGGGAAGACCTAGAGCAGGCTGAGTTCTGTTCTATTCTGTGCTTGGCCAGGGGGCCCTTCATTTTTACTTCCAGCTCAACTTCTCCTTCTATAAAAGGAATCCCAGTTCCCCTGAGAATGTGCAGACAACCCCGAGAGCTTAACTTGCTGACCTCTCCATTCTGATGGCCTCTGTTTTACGCAGCTTCTCTTCCCAGGTCTCATTCAGCTCAGCAATGATCTTCTCCGATTCCTAAGAGGAAGTCCACAGTTAAAGTGAAGAAGAGCCTTATGATGTAACACGCTATGTCTAGGAAGGACAGCAAGAAGCACACAATGCCCTTTGTGGGTATGAGGCAGAATCTAATACAATGAGATTCTGTTCCTTTCTTAATATTATGTGCAATAAAATTCATGAAGATTAGGTCTAACATTAAATCAGCCCTAGATATATAAATTCTCCTAAGTCCTAATAAAAATGCCCAAGGAGTGGGTGTGCATATGTGTGTGTGTAGAAAGAGGAGTAACATTAACATCCCCAAATGCAGGACTCTATTTCTGAAAACCACTTCTACAAAAGAATAAAGCCACCAAACAATTGCTTTTGTTTCACTATAACTTCACCATAGCCTGATGGGGCTCAGAACGTGTTCCCCTAAAATATGGCATCTTGGCATATTGATTATTTTAAGCTGAAGTAATTTGAGAAATGGTTTCTGCAGGAAGGACTCTGAACTCCTCAAGCAGGTTTTAAGACCCTCATGAGAGGAGCCTTCTTACACCTGGAGGAAAGGAGAATCCTCATCTCCAAAGATGGAAGAACAGTAAGAGGAATCTGAACAAACAGGCATTGATAAGTTCCCTCCAGGTCCTATCATAATTTCCCACAACTCTTCTCTCTTTATCAAACCTAGCGAAAAAAATGCTTTAACACTTCTTTGGGTTTTTATTTCCTTATGAAGGTTCCCGTGTCACATAAAACTTATATTAAATAAATCTGTGTGCTTTTCTCTTATTAATCTGTCTTTTGTTTGCAGAAGCCCCAGTCAAAAACCTGAAGGGTAAATGAATATTTTAATTCCTCTACAACATAACACCCTTCTGAACACAACCCAATACCTGGTAAGAGAAAGGGTTAGTATTAATCTCAGCCGAAGGCATATAGCCACTGAAGTGACAGTGTCCCGCCGAGTTTTTATGAATGCCAGAAATTAAGAACATGTTTCCTGCTCTCAGGGAGTTTACTGTATATGAGGAAGAGAGAAGTAACTGATGATTCATTCATTCAATAATTATACAGAACTACATTATATGTTAAGCCCTGTTTCAGGCAACTAGGGATGTGGCAGGGAAAAAATCCTTGATTTCATGAGACTTACATTCTAGTAAAGAATGTAATCAATTTTAATCAATAATTCAAATATACAGTACATGGGATAGTGGCAAGTGCCTTGGCGAAAAAGGAAGAAAGGGAAAGGGGTAAATGAGGGAGCAATTTGGAATGGGGTTGTCAGAACAGGGCTCGCTGACAAGGTTCTGTGTAAGCAGAGACAAAGCAGGAGCTACCACATGAACATGTGAGGGAAGAGGTAAGAAATGCCTGGCATTTTCCAGGAACCACAGTGTGGCCAGAGCAGTGCGCTCGCAGACTGTGAATGGGTAGGGCAGGAGAAAACAACAGAACACTGTGTCACGTGCTAGAACTGAAGTGTTCACAGGTCGCTGGAGAATGGGTGAGCATAAGAATGACGCTCAGACTGATGAATGAAGGACAAGTAGGAAATCAACTCGGTGAAAAATGGAGGGAGGAAGACGACCTGAGGACAGGCACATGCAAAAAGCAGAGGAAGATCTGGTCATGGAGATGAAATTAGAAAGTCCAAAGATGATGCCAGGAGCATAAGAGTGATGAGATGCCAGTTCTGATGACAGCAGCACTAGTGATTCAGGATGAAAACCCTGCACAGTTTACAAAATAGCTCACTGTTTGATTATTTAACAGGCCATTGTAAGAAGCCTCTGGGATCTGAAAACATAATTATCTACAAAGAAAGAAACAGTGAGCACATAATACAATCAATCCTAAGGTGTCTGCGATTCGGTTTTCCGGAAGGAGGCATGGGAGCGTGTTAAAAAGCCATGAGTGAGAATTCCAGGCGGCAGCTGCAAAAGCAAAGGAGTACAGGAGTCAGGAGAAACAGACAGGGGAGCATCATGATGACGACAGTGAAGAACAACTAGCTAAGCAGGGCAAAGAGAAAACTGATGAGCGAGTTAGAAAAGGTAGAAACATCAGTATGGTTCCCATGAAGGGGGCCGCTGAATAGGTACTCGTTCAGAAAAGGGTCAGTCACAAAGGGGTAGATGCCAGAACAAGTCAACAGAGGGAGTGGGGAAGGTGGGGAGGAAAGACAGAACCACCTAAATTGCTCTCATTTAACTCTCCCAACACCCAGGGGCTGAAAGACTCAAACAGCTACCTGAACAGCATCTCTCCAGTGGCCTCCAAGAGGACAGATTTAGCCTGCAGTGCACGTACCCCTCCCAAGCTGAGACAGGAAACGTGCCACGCTAGAGGGCCAGCAACCAAAAACACCCATACAATTTCAGCAAGGAGGGAGATGGCCAGGAACCAAGTGGTCAGTAAGCACCACAGAAGTTACTCAAACAACTCTAACAGAGTAGTACTAAATGCTTTTGCATAGGACCGTGAGAGGGCAAATACGAGACAAGTTGGCACCATAGCCTACGTGATAGCAAGGCTTATTAAAAGACAGCTGGGTAGAAACCTTTACGATCTCAAAATGGTAACTTCGAAAGAAAGGACTAGGACAACAGGCTGCCCAAACAGAGCATCTAGACTAGTGTTTATTATACAGAGTGTGGCGCACAAGCCCTGATGTTGGTGATGGAATACAAACTGACCCATGAGAAACTTAAAATTTTTTTTTCCTGGTTGGTTATTTTCAGGAAAAGATCATGTCTGATAAGAGATTTATCTGGCTGTACAAAAGCTATTCTATTTTGGGGCAACTGTAAATTCACCCAAGGTAGCAAAATCACTGTCTAGGGATCCTGTTGTCATTTTGCTGCCAATTCTAATGTGAACTCTCTAATTTTACTTCCCACCTGGAGGGTAAATCAGGACATGATCTCTTTGTAAAAAAAGAGATTTAATGAGTTAGCTGAATATGGTATTCTTTTATTTTTCATTATAGCTTCACGTTGCAATTTTTATGTTGTCTAAAAAGCTATTTTTTAGGGGCGCCTGGGTGGCTCAGCCGGTTAAGCGTCTGCCTTCAGCTCAGGTCATGATCCCCGGGTCCTGGGATGGAGCCCAAATCGGGAGTCCCTGCTCAGTGAAGAGTCTGCTTCTCCTTCTCCCTCAAATAAATAAATAAAATCTTAAAAAAAAAAAAAGCTTATTTTTTAAAACTCTGAAGAAAGGTTAAAGAAAATGATATTAAGCAAAAGTTCAGTGCTAGAAAAAGCCATTTATTCCAGAACCATTCTAGAGATAAACTGGGGACCAGAGAAGCTAAGAGACTAACCTGAGGCCACACTACATCCTGAGCCACTAAACCCTAGAGTGGGGTTTCCTGACTCTTGATGCTCTTTCTTCAATTAAGGTAGAATCACTAGGCTTTAAAGAAAATATTCTACAAAACAGCTCACCATCAATTAAGAAAGCATGAAGGATATTATTTCTTCAAGCCTGAATAGCAAACTTAGCTTAAATAAAACTGAGATGCCAACATTAGATAACTTTTGATCTCTGAGTTATCAACTTACCCTGCAGGCAGGCCTGGCACACTGGTGCCCAATGTTGCCCATTACCCACTCTAGAAACCCAACTTATAAGATTAAATTGAAATTGGGATGCATGCTTCAGAAATGAGGAGTCCGGACAATCTTTAAGGGTCCTTCCTTCCCACAGGTAGGACACACAAAAAAATTCCAAATAAAAACAGTGACATCAGGAACCTATTTTTAAAGCTCCAAGAAATGTTGGGCTCAGGCGCCATTCAACTTTGGTCTCACATCACGAATGTCTAGCTATCTATGCAGCACTCGTTAACAATTATGTTCACATAGCTAAACACAATTTAATTTCTTTGTCATGATTCAGTTAAGGTGACAGAGAAATCCGCAGAACAAGTCAGAAATATTTCCACAAAAAAAAATTACAGTTTCAACTGTGATATTTAAAAGGTTAAATGCTTACTACATGGAACATTCCTTGAAGCCATCAGATAGCCAAGGTTTTACTGTACTGAACATAGTATGTTCCATAAGTGTGTTCCAAGTGTGGGGCCCTTGGGCCGCCTAGCACAGCACCTGCCCTTGCATGCTTCTGTAATGGATACTTGTGGATATTTATAGTCCAAGCCTAGGCGATGGCCCTCATAGTACTAACTTTGATGCCAGATTAATAAACAAACCCCAGAGCCACCACACAGTAGCTATAGTTACATATTTAAAACCTTACTGAATAAGAATCCAAATCAAGGATACATACATCCCAACTCAGTTTGAGTTGTGATTAAAAAATGAAAGCAATTACATTTCACTCTTTTGCCAGAGAGGTTTGTGGAGGGGTCGAGATTGTTTATGATGAGGTAACATGGGTCTCTTCCATATGGAAAGAAGCTATTCAAAAAACGAAGCAGAAGCAACACGTTATGCAAAAGTATTTTACCAACTGATCATATTTTTAAAGTCAAAAATAAAGAGAAGCAAAGGGAAATAAAATGTTAGGGAAGTGAATTAACCTCTATTCCTGTTTTCCATTACAGTATTTTTCTCCTGCAGTATCATGGCTTAGGAACGTAGCTCCTAAACACTCAACAATGAAGTAGTCCAAAAATGAAGAATTCTCAAGCATTTCTGTTGTATAACCACTGCCTTGCACTGTGCATGCAAGATGCTATCTGCCTGAGGCATTACAATGCAGGTCTGCTGGACTGAATTCTCTCACCATTCACAAAACAGGAGCAGAACGAAGGCACTTATGCCTCAGTGGACTGCCATGCTGCATTTAAAAACTCAAGATCCAATGCAAAACCATCAAGAAGCAATTTTCTAAAGGTAGGGAAAATGGAAGATTTCACTTATGCTGACTTAAAGGAAAATTAAAACAGAGAAATCTATTTTCTGATGAAAGTAATACAGTTTTGTTTTGGTGGGAAGTAGGAAGGTTGGGGGGAGGGTTCCCTGAATAATGGCCAATGTTATTCCCCAGAAACTATGTGGAAGACATTGGGTGACCTAATTCTTAAAGAGTCTGATTAACGTCTTGACTCCTAACATTCAACGTTATTTTCAGTTGGTCCCATGTGGCAGTTAGGAAAATTGTTTTCTTTTACACCAAGACGTAAGTTAATGGAAATCTTATTTGTACACCAAGGCTTTAATAGGCGATATAAGTAAGATTCAAAATCCCCAAAGATAAAGAACATCTTATATTAAATAGTAAGTAGGAGATTTCACTTCTTTCCCATGGAACCCCTGCATTTCCCCCACTGGCCCAAACAGAACCCCGCACAGCAACTTTGTCACCAACGCCCATCGTGAAAACACAGACACATAAAGCTGTCCTGCACAGGCTTCACTAATGTCTTTATTACAATTCCAAAGGCAATTTTACAAAAGCAGGAATTACCCTTCAATTTGCAACAATTAATGAAATGAAAAGATTTCTCACCCTTCTCCCTTTGCTAGGTATTTCAGAACTTTACCCACTTCCTACAAATAAGTTCTGAAGGAAGAAACAAGATCATTACTTTTGTTTCTGAACCACCTTAGGTTAGAAGTAAGTAAAAAATGCCAAGGAAAAACGTAGGCTGACTAAGAAGCAGAGGCCCAGTCTTCACATAAAATCTTTCTTGGCCTCACCTGAAAACTGAAATGAAACCTTCTGTCATCTTCAATTATCAAGCTTCATTCCCTTTTAGCGGTGAAAAGGCTCAACAAACCTTTTCCATCGTTCATTTGCCCAAGTGTGTTACTGTTCTCAACAGTGCTCGAGCGAGCGGCAGTTGTGGAGAGCGCTGAGTGCAACACAAAGAGGCCTGCCAACACAACTGCAACTTCCCAGCTCCTGAAAACACTTTCTCTGCCCTCCTTGTTTTCCCTGCCCTGGCCCTTGGGAATACAAAGGCCCAAAAGCGTGGATCACACGATCACCCTGGAGGCAATGAGCAGGGAAAGAAAAAGCATCTGTGATACTGTCACAGTGATTTGATGGATGGCATGGTCTGTTCTCGCTGCAGTCACTGAGGGGAAGGAAGAAGCCAGGAATCAGCAGGTGCTGCTACCGCTCACTTTCATATTCACGAAGAAGACAAGAACATCCCCAACAGAGCGAAGCACAGACTGGGAGAGTGAAGCTGGGTGCCACAGCAGGTGGCCCTGAACGTGCAGGATGCAAGCGCGCAACACAGCACTGAGGCCCCTGACCCCATGGGCGCCAGCACAGGAGGAGGCAGCCCTCCCACGGCAGTTATAATAGGGTTCCAAGACTTCCTATGAGCTTCTACAAGTTATCATTTCACGTGTCTCTGAATAAGCCTGGTACAGCCACTCATATGCTCAAGCCTTCTTTTGGTTGTCTATTTATTTTACTAACACAGACATGGCTCTATACAGAATTCCATCTTCAAATGAATCCAAGTGCTTCTATCAAATTAGTTTCCAACTAAATTCCTAACTAAACAATGTCCCTGTGACTTATAAACTATCTGGGAATTAAAGGACATTATCTATTTATCAGTTATCTTCATGGCCAACCTATGATCTGGCCACGCATCTCTCTAATTTCTGCCTGGCCACGTGAGACTCAAGTATTCTGGTAAAAAGAAATTACCTTATAAAGCAGCACATGCCATTTTCAGGACACCTCTAAGAGTCAGAAAGTTCTTCCGTATCCTTAACAAAAATCTCGGTGATTTTCAAGACCAACTATGCTTTGTGGAGCTACACAGAACACCTTTCATTCAGTCTGAATTATTACTTACCTTTAGACGTTCAATGGCTTCCTCTCCTCCAGGTGTAGACATGATCCTCTCCTGAATACTGGTCACAGATGTTATGCCCACCTGACTATTGAGTGAGCAGGAAGATGGAGATGAAGTAAGGGACCCCATGGATGCTGTGGAAAAATTGCCAGGGCGTTGATTCTCAGAGGCTAGCAAGTACCTATGCTTATTGTTCTGAAAATCTTTCAGATCTGGGAGACAGAAAGAAGGGAAGGCAGAAAAAGTGGAAAAGAGGGAAAGGAGCAGAGGGAGAAAAAAGACAGGAAGGAATACCAGCGTAAGAAAGGATAGTATTAAAGCGCCAAGACAAAGACACATTATAATACAAAGACAAGTTATAATTGTTCTAGATGGCAGTTCTAAAACATGTCTGTCTTTAATACTGGTATCCTAGAGGTTAAGAACCACTTCTGAAACTAAAAAATTTAGAAACTAAAAAATTCCAGGGTGGGTTAACATTGTATTTGATAGGGGGTAACCAGAGCCTCAAAGGATAATAATGCTCAGGCACTCTCCGTAAACAAGACATGCTACATTCCTTCTATTCCTTCTAGAGCTCCAAATCTACAATGTTTTAGATTTCCAGTACTCTTAAATCCCAGTAGTTTGTAATGGTACAGGAAAAAAGATGAACATTTATTTATCAGTAATATCAAACTGGCCCAGTATTTTATGGCATTCAGCAAAAATTCCCAAGAAGATACTACAGTTAAAACAAAAATCTGTAGTGTCCTTTGTATAGCAACATTTCAACATGCTAAAAAGCATCTTCAACATATGCTTTTTTAAAAAAGGAGAGGTAAATGTAGAAATCACAAGAAATTTGTGTAAGTTCTGGTTGAGAACTCAGGGTCAATTACCTCAACAGGGAAGAACAATTAGCAAATTAATGAAGTTGGTACAGTTTACATTCATCTATTAGCACAAGCAAAAATCAAGGCTGATTATTTGCTTATTATTGCAAAGTGAGGCTCTTACTCTGCCTAACAGTACTCCATGAGTCACTGGTGAGCTGAGTTCCTAGTATGGAATTCAAGTTTCAGGGACATACTTTCACTTACTAAGGTCTTTAATAGAACTGTAAGTTTTGTTTTTAAATTTAGTTTTGATAAAAAGAGCCACAAACAACAAAATTCATTAATTTGCTGTTTGTACTTTCCTTCATTAGTCATCCCTGTCGAACAGACACCAGAGGAAAACCATAGGTATTAATGGATTTCTATTTTAAAATTAGCTTATGTTTAAAAATGTGAGAAAACCTACATTGCTTAAAATTCATACCAAAACTAACTTAAGTTTTCCTTAAATGATACGAGTCAATGCAGAGTCAGAAAACATTATTATTTGCTCTCGCTGGGTCTACTCATTTCTACTTCATCAAAGCCAGTTCTTGAAACCCCTTAAAACCAGTGGTTGCTTCAAGACAGTTTGAAAACCACCATCTGCAAATATAGAACATAGGAAAACAAGCAAGTTTTAAAAGGGGGATGGGAACTGGAGCAAAAAATCAGCCATCAGGTGATGGCAGCAAGGTAGGAAAGAATAGGATGGGTGGAGCTGAGAAGGTCCAATGGACACATGCAAGCCCTAAAAGAAATTAAGAGTAGTAGACTGAAATGGAAATTCAGAAGTAGTCAGGGCTGCTTTCCTGCATGGAGACAAAATTAAAACTTAGTCATGCATAGCTTTTTGGGAGATGTCACAACTGCTCAGAAAAGAGTGAGGCAACAAGCTGGTAGCAGCCAGCTGGGGCACAAAAGCAAGAACAAGATGGTGTCTTTCTCACATCAGTATCAGTCAGCTTCGGAAATCTCAGACAGAGCTGTTCCAGTCCAAGAGTCACTCTCTATTGGAGTGTTATTGTGTCCTCAAGGCCTAGCCTCATCACAGTGGCCAGGGCTACGTTTGCTTTCACCTATGTATTTCCTCCCTTCAAGCCCTATTACGTGCCTCATTAAATGAACAAGCAAATCAATTAAAATCTAAAACTTAACCAAGAAGTCAAGATTCTTCATTTCTTCTAAGATAAAAATCCCCTCATGAACTATCTTAAAAGGGTAAGAAATCATGTCCTCACCAACTTAATGATATCTATGGAGAGAACGAGGTGTGATCCTTCATAAAAATGTCTCATTTCGAACACACATTTTAGACACCCAAGTTTTTAAAATCTAATGTGTAATTCCAGAAAAGGAGAGGGAAAAAAAAAAGTTTTCCTAACCACTATGTAAGCTGAGGCCCAAGATATGGAGGAAACTAACTCAGCATAAGCACAGGTGGGTGCTAACCCAACACTCAGAGCTACTCAGTCAGGGATAGTTTAGCCAACCAGAAGTGATTGTTTTTAATTGTACATACACCAAGGCTCAGAATTACATAGCTAATTTAAAATGAGTTTTCTATTAAATAATCAGACACGTGAAGGATCTCAAGAGGCCAAAAAAGGTATAGTAATGATATTAAAAGCTGGGGCTCTGAGTTACACTATCCAATCGAACTACACAGAAACCATGGGATCTCTGGAGCGAATTAACCACCCAGGCAAGGGTGTCCTCATGGGTAAAATGGGCCTAACAATCTTTTCCAGAATCAGTGACAGGATTAAGTGAGATAATACATTCAAGGTCACTATAAACACTCAGGAAATGTGAGCTGCTGTCATCGCTATCATCATCCTCTAGGACTTTGGATTCAGTTTAATCACATAAGTGGAAAAACTGAAGAGCAGAAGCAGCAAGAGACTCTTAACCCTCTAAACTACTTAACCCATAAACTGAAATTCAGCAGCGTTTGCTACATGGAGAAGGGCAAAAACAGGATCATTTCTGAATCTACAGTATGCTCTGTCTGGGATTTCCCTGTTAGGATTGCTGGCATGCAAAGCTCATTTTAAGGCTGATCCAGCAGAGGCAGATTAGCAAATCAGAGTACTGGAAATAACCAATACATGAAATACACACATTTGCCTCCACTTCCAGAGTAATCATCGATCAATGGATCAACTGAAGGTAAGCAGGAGGGAAAATACAAGAAGGGTCAAAGTTCAGGTTCAGCAGTGACACAGAGAGGGAACAGAGCAGCATTTGGGAAGATGAAAAAAATTAACACTTAAAATAGATTATCATTTTGCACACTGTATTCATTTAAACTCAGGTGTTAATCAGTAAGAAGAACTAAACTACAAGAGACTTTGAAAATCTTATTAGAATTTAAATATTAATTTTTCACTCAAAAAATAAAAATATACTTTATCAAATAAACCCATATACTATTCTACCTGAATCATCCAGTTAACTTCTGATTAGACATTATGCAAGGAGATCACGGAGGTTAAAAAAAGACTCATTTTAAGACAACACTGTAAAATAGTATTCTCTGAAAGTCTAGTTCTTGAATTTGACAGAAAATGGATATTTTTCCCTTCATGTGTTCATAGGGAGCTGGGTGGGGAGTGTCCTTCAATCATTCTGCAGGAGGGGAAAGATACCACTCAAAGGTAAATCTTATCTGAAAGGGGACTGGAATGGTGGATTTGTTACACATATATTATCACTACTACATTAATCCAGAGAAGCCCCAGTACAAAAACAAAAATTTCAAGTACCAATTTTACAAAATGATTAATTTCTCCGTGAGAATAAACTCAACGTTCCAAATAAACTTCACTGCTGATCTAAAATGAAAATCTAATAAAAATACAAGCGGTAACATATTTACATTTTAAAAACTAATTTCATGAGTTCAGCTGGATAGCCTGGTACATACTATATAAAGAAAGATTCTGAGATCATTTTCGTTGGATTTTTTTAAAAGAAAAAACAAAAACAAAAAAAACTCTGTTATACCATCTAACTTCATCATGTTCTTTGAATCTAAGTTTAAATATAAGAACCCTGAAGAGGAAAAGATTAGAGTTTATGTTGATCCTTAATTCACTTACTATCAATAATATCTCCCAGCCCCTGAGCACGAAGAAGATCCTTCAGCCGTGTCACCTCCTCCTTTAATTCACGAACCAGTTTGGCATTGGGGTCCTCATTGATAACAGCATTGCACTTAATTTGTTTTGCACGATCTGCGTATCTATATCCAAAAAGAACATTCATTCTTGCCATTCCTCAGATACTCTACTTCTCATAAGTAACATGCCATTATTTCTAACTCTAAATCAAACAGCTTGAGTATTTACACATTTTATGAGCCTTACTAATAACATATGCATAGAAAGTTTTATAATATCTTATCAAGATGAGGAAAAAGGCTCAGATGAATTTTAGTGAGTTACCCAAAATCATAAAAGAAATAAATACCAAAAAGAAGACTCAAAATGCATTTGTGAGACTATATAGGGTTCTTTCCATCACTGGGAGAAGAGTAGAAAGTTCCAGATTAAAGTAATGAAAACTATTCATAAATAGAAATACAGCTGACCCTTGAACAACGTGGGTTAGAACTGCACTTATAATCAGATTTTTTTGATAAACACAGTCCAGTACTGTAAATGTATTTTCTCTTCTTAATTTTCTTAATAACATGTTCTCTCCTATAACTCACTTTATTGTAAGAAAACATATGGCTTATATGCATATACATATGTATTTGTACAACTTACAACATACAAAATATGCATTAATCAACTGTTTATGTTATCAGTAAGGCTTCTGGTCAACAGCAGGCTGTTAGTAGTTGAGTTTTTGGGGAGTCAAGTTATATGCGGATTTTTGAGTGTGCAGAGGGTTGGCACCCCTAACTACTGTGTTGTTCAAGGGCCGACTATATTCTATTAGTGAACATTCTGTAATTTTTTTTTTTTAACACTATGTGTACTCATAATTGTATTACTTGTTAAGAGCTGAGCATCTCTATAATGATGAAAACCACAAGGGAACTTCTTTTTACAGAAATGAAAATCGTAACAAACTGAAATTGAAAACCATAAACAGGTAAATTCTATTATAATAAAAATCTCCCCTGCCCAAAAAAATAAATAGAAATCTCCCCCAACCCCTGTTTTCCCTGTTATGAGAGGGATGGATCATTACTTACATAAAAAATTACCCATATAGCATAAGAAAACCAATGGCATAACAAAATGACTTATGGTGGCACAGTATTCTATTTAGCTATCAAGAGCAATTGGAGTACCTCAGAGTGCTCAAAGTTTCATCATAGTTGATATCTGCTGGGCTCAGAGCAGCAACCATTGCAGTCCGAGAATTGCCACCTAAGAAGATGAATCATGGTTATTGCAAATCATATTCATTTTAGAAAGAAGAATTTTATTAAATTTATGTCAAATTAGACAACACCATCTCAGATCCTAAGATTTAATCAAGAATCAACAAATGTCTTGAATGCTCCCATGCCGGGCACTGTCATACTGTTAATCTTGGTGTTTGTATCTACTGTGACCAGTTCTCCTCTCCCCACTTCAGTTAAGACCTCAGCCACTCCACCAAAGTGCTCTTAATGAGTCAAAGTCACAGTGACATGGACAGTCCAGCAGGCCATTCTCACTCTCTTCCTTCTATCAGTGTCATTTCCCTTCTAAAAGGAAGGAGGGAAAGAGGCTAACAGAACAGAGAATAAAGAGAATGACCTGAAGGTCCAAAACCATCAGCAAAAAGGTAACATGGAGTTTCCAAAGAGGTTTGAAGAAGGAGCGATAGTTTGAAGCAGGTGTGTTTAGGAAGAAAACCACACCACCACACCACAGTCCACGTTCCCAGGTCAACAAGATGGGGGAGAAAACCCTGATTAAAAAGTAAGCATAACATAATTTAAAAAAAAAAAAAAAAGTAAGCAAATCCAACCAGCTTAAATCAAGAGTAACATGGATATCTGGAGATTATTTTTCTCCAAAACAAACATATAAGACAATTAACCACAAAAGATAATCAATAAACAGCTTTAAAAAGGTAACTACACACAAGTGATCAACGTACCTAGATTTTCTCGAAGGAGCCAAGTAAGTACAGAATCCCTGTAAGGAATAAAATCAGTCTTCTTCTTCTTCTTACTCTATTAAACAGAAAGAAATGATCTTAGTATTGTTAGGGAGGAAAAATTCACTTGAAAGGCAAACAAGTCCAAAATTTCTGAGTAAACTATAGTAGAACCCTATCACTGTTGAAATTTAACACTCATGGCTTCAATTCTTCACCATACCCAAAGTTCATGCAATAAAGTAATTTTTTCTTTTTATATTTTATTTTGAAAAATTTCCAGTGTACATGACAGTTTAGAGAGTAGCATAATGACCGATCATATATCCATCATGCAACTCCAACCGTTATCAATATTTTGCCAATCATGTTTCTATTATCCCTCAAACACTTTATACTTTTTCTTCCTGAACAATTTTGGAATAAATTGCAGACACCATGCCCTTTTATCCCTAAATACTTCAGCAGATAGGGACATTCTCTTACATAGTCACAGTTCAATGACTGAGTTCAGGAAATCTTTTTTTTTTTTTTTAAAGATTTTATTTATTTATTTGACAGAGAGAGAGACAGCTAGAGAGGGAACACAAGCAGGGGGAGTGGGAGAGGGAGAAGCAGGCTTCCCGCCGAGCAGGGAGCCCGATGTGGGGCTCGATCCCAGGACCCTGGAATCATGACCTGAGCCGAAGGCAGGCGCTTAACGACTGAGCCACCCAGGCGCCCCAGAGTTCAGGAAATTTAACATCAATATACTACTATTATTTAATATCCTGTCTATATCATATCTTTTACAGCTGGTAGCGTTTTAAAGCAAATCCAACATTTCACCTATAAATAAATATTTCAGATACATATTTCCAACAGAGAAGGGGTTCTTTTTTTTCTTTAAGTCTCAAACAATGATTTTTTACTTTTGCAGAGGGGCAAATATAAATCCTGGGCATTCCAGGTTAGATGTGCAGGAGCCAAGTCATTTAGTTAACGAATTTACTTGGCCAATCACCAAATCATTAAGTGGACTGTTGCATCTCTAACAACTCTTATAAAAGTAATACACATTTGGTTTCTTTAGAAAGAAATCACACTCCAAATAAATTCAACCAACAGAGTTAGGACTCAAAGTGAAAAGGTCTAAGTGATGTGATTTGCTAATCTGGAGATTTGTAAAGACTGCAAGATGAATGGTCTGGGGCGCCTAGGTGGCTCAGTTGGTTAAGCGACTGCCTTCGGCTCAGGTCACGATCCTGGAGTCCCAGGATCGAGTCCCGCATCGGGCTCCCTGCTCGGCAGGGAGTCTGCTTCTCCCTCTCCCACTCCCCGTTTGTGTTCCCTCTCTCGCTGTGTCTTTCTCTGTCAAATAAATAAATAAAATCTTAAAAAAAAAAAAAGATGAATGGTCTGTATATATGTATCAAGCATTGACTTATACAGCTGTGACCCTCCTCATTATCATATCCTTTGAAAGTAAAAATTAATGCAAACCCTTTGCAGATAACAGCTACTGCAGTTATGTCCTGGCTGATGACTAGGTCGTGATAATTTAAGAAGCCACTAAGGGGAAGCCAGGGTTCACTGATAAACATCTCTTCCCAGTCCTGGTATAATCTGAGGTTAAACTAAGGACAATCTAGTTCTTGCGAAAACATGGGTATTCAGAAAAAGAGTACTAAATAGCTGACCTCTGGTCTGTCAAGGAGGAAAGGAAGTAGGCAAGTAGCAATTTAATTCCATCTCTTATCAAAAACATTCCCTCCAATTCATCCTATCCCACCCACAGACACACTTTCCACCAATGAGAAAGTCATTTCCCATAGCAGGATCTATTTCCAAATGACAAAGACCTGTGGGGAGAATTAACCCTCTCAGTCAATCACAGCTTAGCGGGACTATCAGTCCACTGCAAAATTCTTGAGTCCTGAGACCTCAATTCTTCCTTCTCTAGCCCCTCAACACTCCACTTTGCCTACAGTTAGTACTGAAAATGCTACAAGATCTAAAGTACGTCACTTACAAGGATTGCAAACAGTACTATAAAAATAAGCAGTTTCTCTTTGCCAAAAGATGTTCTATTTTCATTTTGGTCGATTAGACTAAATTAAGAAGGAGTAGCTAAATAAAGAAGCATGAATAGAACTTCCATATTTTCCATCTGAAATATCTCAGAATTTTAGCCACTTCTTTTCTATTTGCTCTCTTACACAAATTAATCTCATCTATTCTCACAAATAAGGGCCTCAGTAATTACCTAAACAGGTTTACTTACTTACATCACTAGCCTCTCTAAAAAGAAGTGCTATCAAGTATGGACAATAATAATCCTGTTTCTCTCCCCAGTGGGAATAACAGTACATTTTAATTCACCAAAAATTATGCTTATTACATAAAAACTAAAATTTGTCTTTGATCTGTTATAGTTATGGCATAGATGCAAAGTTCTAAACTGGATTTTCCAAAACTAATTCTAAAAAAGTCATTTGCAAATTATTGTGGCACAGAGCAATATGGGAAATATGCAGATAAATGTAAACTTTTCCTTTGGTTGATAAAGAATGTTAAAAAAATGAGCAAATGGACAGGACAAGTTAGAAAAACCACTAAATTTTAACAGCTTTCATGGTTCTGGGACTCAGATTAGATATCTGAAGAATATCCAAACTACTGCATAATATCAAATAACAGATAGCTTTAAATCTAAGGCAGCTTTTTCCAATAAGCCAAAAGAAACAGAAAAAAAGTATTACTCTTTATTTTTTTTTTTAAAGATTTTATTTATTTATTTGACAGAGAGAGACACAGCAAGAGAGAGAACACAAGCAGAGGGGGTGTGAGAGGGAGAAGGAGGCTTCCCTCGGAGCAGGGAGCCCGATGCAGGGCTCGATCCCAGGACCCTGGGATCATGACCTGAGCTGAAGGCATACGCTTAACGACTGAGCCACCCAGGCGCCCCAGTATTACTTCTTATTAAGTAATTTTTGTACAAGTAGAGAACAAACCTATATATTTTAAAATATGAGTATAAAATATTTCATCTTGCAGGGGCAGCTGGGTGGTTCAGTCGGTTCAGCGTCTGCCTTCGGCTCAGGTCATGATCTCCGGGTCCTGGGATCAAGCCCCATGTCGGGCTCCCTGCTCAACAGGGAGTCTGCTTACCCTCTGCCTCTGCTCACGCTGTCTCTCTCTCTCTCAAATAAATAAAATCTTTTAAAAAATAAAATATTTCATTGCAGATATTGCCTTTATCTCCAATGTTACTCATGTGATTCAGAACTGTTGAGTGCTCTATTATAAATGCAAAATAGTACTAAGAAATTTTAGAGTCTTGTAAGGAAATATAAGGAAAAGTCTATCGTATTTGGATTAAAAGGATGCAAAGAGCATGTGTTCTAGATACAGACTTTAACTAGATTCTACAGCCTTCACTTTATGTATAACCAAAGAGTAGAAAAAAAAATTTTAACAATTTAAATAATCCATGACTTCTCATGATAGGAAACAAGATTATACAAAGAGGTTTAAGAAAAATATCCTAATAATTTCAAGAAGGCAGCTATATTTTAGAATAGTATCCATAAGAAATATCTTTATTGCCCTTTCAAGAGGTTTATAGGTGACTTCTTCAAGTAACAGTCCTACAGATCACTAGGAGAAACATCATTAAGATAACACAATATAGAAGCTTCCTCAGTTTCTCTCTTGTTCCTTTATTCTGAATTCCTTCTCCAAAACACATCATGTTCCCTAAATTAGGTTTGGTGTGCAGTCTCATGATTCATGGTCACTCTAAACAGCAATTCTAAATTCCAGAGTCAGAAAGCAAGTAACAAGAAGTTATTTTTCAAGGTTCCATTCCTACTTATGCCTCCATACAACCTGCTGAGGATTTACAATCATCACAATTGATTCTACAGCTAGTTAAATGCCTAACAAACCCCACCGTACCTTGCTGGTGCAGTTATCCTATAATTGAAGCATTTAAAAGAAAGAATGAGAACACAGGATAAGCCTTCAAACAGAAAGTACTTTAAAGTAATAAACTGAGTATGACTTTTCAGAAACAAGCAAGAAAGCATTTGATTCTTTTTAGGGATTCAAATAACATACTAAACTAGAATACAAAAGGACTAGTACTTCCTTAGCCTTTAACCTAAAAAATAAAGCCCCTGATACAAAAGTGTTTCAGATTTAGTGTCCCACTGTTAAAGAATAGGAAAGAATAACACAATTTTAAAAAGTATATTATTGGCCCCCAAATCAACAGCATTCACCAAGGCAAATGCTTAAAAAACTCCAAAAGGTACTGTATCCTACTTAAAAAAGATTGTATAGGAAAAGAACATGCAACAAAAACCCTTGGTTTTGATGAGAAACCTGAAGTAAGGCTAAAAAAGGAATCAAACCCTAAGTCTTCGTAAAGAGCTAGTTTTCAGTCTAGCCTTTATAGATCTATGTTTACTTTCTCCTGAATCTCTTTTATGTTCAGTAGAAAGTCAAAGTGTGTTATACCTAGTATCTTATCTGAAAAGCTCTTAAAGGAGAAAAGATTACACAAAAGGGCCAAAAAACGTCAGTCTTCATAAACACAAAATATCATCAAGTACATTTGAACAGGCAAGTTTTCCCATGTAACCAAGTATATAAATACTTACCACCTCTGCCAAGGCTGAAATGACTTTGCCCAGAGTTGTGAGAGACTTATTAATATTTGCTCCTTCCTGAAATCAATACCAAACATGAAAGAATTATGATGAAGAATTTCTTCCACTGCCATATCATCTATAATGCATAGGATACAATTAAGCCTTGTATTAGCACTCTTTGTTTACTTATGACCACAAGTTCTAAAAACCTCTTTTAGTCCTCAGTCTCTCCCCTGTTCACTTAATGCCATGCCAGGACCACACACCTAACTCACAGTCCTGAGTATCGGCAAGATGGCTTGCCCCAAAAGTTTATGGAGGCAGCCTTCTCCCCCCAACTCACCAACATGCAATTTCTGCTCTTGTTAAGTAAGCATCCCTCTGGTGAGGGCTGTGTGTGTTCTCACATTTGGATCTTGTACCATTAGTGTCGCTTCCATCCAGCCTTTTCCTCAAAACACCTTTCAGCTTTCACCTTGACCATCAAGTCCTCCTTAACTATCACATTATGTTACTTATCTTTCATTGAAGTTATAGATCAGGCATGAGCAAAATGTTTCTGTAAAGGTTTTGCAGGCCATGTGGTCTCTGTCATAAGCTCTCAGACTTACTGTTGTAGACAACACACGAACAAAGGTGGCTGTGTCCCAATAAAATTTTATTTACAACAACAGGTCAGATTTGACCGACTGGCCATAGTTTGCTGACCTATGTTACAGAACATTTACTGACTATGTCAACTGTTTGATAAAATAAATACCTTTAATCGAGTCCCTTTGGCACCAGTTGAATCAGCTCGTTCACTTCCTGCTAGATCCACCAAGCTGATTTTACTGACCTGGTCAAGAACAAGAACATTGGGGTAATTCAAAAATAAGCAAGGTAGAACTAGAAAACATTAAGAGGCAGGAAATTAAAAATCGGGCATGAAGAAGACTACAAATATTAGGGCTCTTACATATGGCACAAGAAGACACAGCATGCACAAAAGTTCACAGCAATTTTCTTGGTTCAAAATAAGTAATTTTAAGATACACATGACATATTTTATAATGGTGTGTCATAAAAATATAAAACTCAATAACCCATTAAATGGCATATTAAATATGAAGCCTCCAGCAACTGGAACTCTCACACACTGCTGGTGGGAATGTATTATGATACAGTCACTCTAGAAGAAAGTATAGCAGAGTTGTAGACCTACAGAGCTAAACATATACCTACCCTAAGACTCGACCATTGTACTCCCAGGTATTTACCAAGAGAAACAAAAGCAAATATCCACACAAAGACTTGTACACAAATGTTCACGGCATTTTCTTTTTTTTTTTTTTAAGATTTTTATTTATTTATTGAGAGAGAGAGAGAATGATAGAGAGCATGAGAGGGAGGAGGGTCAGAGGGAGAAGCAGACTCCCCGCCGAGCAGGGAGCCTGATGTGGGACTCGATCCCGGGACTCCAGGATCATGACCTGAGCCGAAGGCAGTCGCTTAACCAACTGAGCCACCCAGGCGCCCCATTCACGGCATTTTCATTTTCATGATCAAAAACTGGGAACAATTTAAATGCCCACCACCAATAGGCGAGTTAATGCACTAACTGTGATATATCTATATAGTGGACTACTAATCAGCAATGAAAACAAGTGAACTACTGATAGACAAAACAACATAGGTAAATTTCAAAATTATGCTAAGTGAAAGAAGCAAGGCAAGAAAATAGTACATACTCTATAATGCCATTCATATAAAATTCTGGAAAGTGTAAACTAATCTGCAGTGACAAAAAGCAGATCAGAATTGCCTAAGTACCAGGGTGGAAGGAGTGATATAGTTAGATTATAAAGCAGCATGAGGCAACTTTTCAGGGGAATGGACGTGGTAATGACTTGGACTATGATATTGGTTTTAAAGGTGCATACACAGGAATCCAATTTTATACTTTAAATATGTGTGGTCTATTGTACTTCAACAAATCAATAAAGTTGTTAAAAAAAAATAAAGCTTCAGGAAAGTGAGACAAAAGTATCCAAAATGGATTATCAAAGAAGCTATGGTTATAGGATTAACATCATTATTTTTGTAGATGCGACATCATAGAAGAATAAAATGGTTTCACACAAGATGTACTAAATAGCATTAATATTGTAACTAGCTAAGCAGTGTCAAGTTATCTGATCACCTATATGAAGGGTATGTTTTTTTAAAATAATTTTCAGCTAGGGAGACAAACCATAAGAGACTTTTTTTTTTTTGAAGATTTTCTTTATTTATTTGACAGAGAGAGGCACAGTGAGACAGGGAACACAAGCAGGGGGAGTGGGAGAGGGAGAAGCAGGCTCTCCGCGGAGCAGGGAGCCCGATGCAGGGCTCAATCCCAGGACCCCGGGATCATGCCCCGAGCCGAAGGCAGACGCTCAACGTCTGAGCCACCCAGGCGCCCCCCATAAGAGATTCTTAACTCTAGGAAACAAACTGAGGGTTGCTGGAGGGGGGGGATAGGGTAACTGGGTGATGGGCATTAAGGAGGGCACTTGATGTAGTGAGCACTGGGTGTTACACGCAACTGATGAATCACTGAACACTACACCTCTGAAACTAATAAATATGGTATATGTTAACTAAATTGAATTTAAATAAAAAATTTTAAAATAAGTAAAATAATTTTCAGCTAAAAACAAGTCACTAAGTAAAAGGTGATCCTAGTTTTTAGTGTTGTCAGTATCACAAAGAACTCAGTTTATAAGGCAAAGGATCTTTTATCACTGCCAGTATAATAAATCTAACTTCTGGTTTAAAAATCCAGCTGCATGCTACTTAGGTATGTAGGCAGAGAAGAATTCAACATAAATTTATTACTAACAATAACAACGCTAAAATTCACATTTATTGAATGGCTACTCTAAGCCAGGCACTATTATATGCACTAACCTGTATCAATATTTAATCATCTTAACAATCCTATGAGGTTGGGGAAATGAGGCACAAAGAGGTTAAGTAACTTGCCCAAGGTAACAGTGCTGCAAAGTGGTAGAGGCAGGATCTAAATCAAGCAGTTTAACTCCAAAGTCTACTATATTTACCTACTGTAGAAAAGGAGACATTAACAAGCAAGGTATTCGAAGAGCATCAGGACTGCTGTGCAGTCCTTTACTTTCCAAGGAAAAACACACCTTGTCTGCTTAATTGTTTGCTTAAATATTTAATCCCACAATAACATTATCAGAGCTCAAAACAAACAAAAAAACCTATATACCAAGCAAGTTAATTAAGAGGTTCTAGTCAAGAAGAAAAAAAACGAAGATTTTCTCCCCACAGAACTGCTTAACTTTAACTCTCTTGCACAGAGTAATTTTTGAGACCCAATGTCTTTGTTTTTTCTTAAGCCTATTTTCTATCTTGCAATTTCACTCAAAAACCCATGCTCAGAATTGGTTTAGAGTGGGAATAAAAATGACAAGCAAAAGATACAAAATATTCACCGTTAAGTTAAAGGGCAACTTTCTCCCCTCCATAAGATGCAGAGGGTAGCAAGAGGGACTTCTGAAAATCCCCATTCTATACAACTCAAGCCCGGACACTGAAGTTGTCCTACCTTCTCAGTGGAAAGGTTGGTCTCAGTATCATGTTTCTTCTGGGTGAAAACAATGGTAAACACAGCATGGGAACGGCTACTTGTTTCATTCATGTTGGTAGCTGCCACCGTCCTAAATAAACATAAAGGTGACATGTGACAATGGAATTGTTAGATGAAAGTTAAAATGGACAGCAGGCTCCATGTTAACTATAACAATCACAAGCAACAACTTTATTCACAGATCATGAGATTGTCACTTACATAAATTGTTCTCAAAACACCTTATTTGTGAGCCTATCAAGTTATCCCCAACTCCAAAGGTCCCCCATCAGAATCATTTTTCATACCTCAATTGTCCCTTTAGAAACCACCGACGCATTTAATTTGTATTCTTTATTTTGCAATCAGTTACTTCCATAGGCATGTGATTATCCAACATTTTACCATGACTTAATCAAAACCTGATATTAAAACTTAACCAAAGTTCTGACATGTTTCAGCACTGCATTGTTTTGATGAGAAGATGCTGACTATGCGGAAGCCCTTACTTTTTACCCCAGCACAGCCAAAGGATCAGAGGATCTACAATTAAAGCAACTTTCATAAGTATAAAGGTGGTCTCAAATCCTTAACTGGGAATAAAGGACCTGAAAATGTGCCAAAGCCTTCAGTCATTAGTCTATTTCTACCATACCTGGCTTTGTTCCCAGCATCCATGAGGTCAGCAATGTCTGTGTAGGAAGTGACTGCCAGCTTGGACAGATCCTCCACATATGGGCCAAGAAGTGGGTGTTCACGCACACGCAAATGACCCTTGTTTTTTGGATTCAGCAGGTCTCGTACTCGTTCACAGTAAATTTCCATGTAGCTCACCTAGGAGCAAATTATTAAAGTGAACTGGAGGACTTGGAAAAAGAAATACTATACATTAAAAAAAGTTTAACAATTTTTATTAAAAGCTCTACAACTGGGGTGCCTGGATGGCTCAGTTGGTGAAGCATCTGCCTTCGGCTCAACTCATGGTCTCAGGGTCCTGGGATCAAGTCCAGCATCAGGCTCCTTGCTCAGTAGGGAGCCTGCTTTTCCCTCTCCCTCTGCGGCTCCCCCTGCTTGTGTTCTCTCTCTCTCTGTCAAA